ACGCCTCGTGGGCGTTCTTGGAGGCCTTTTGGGCCGTCTGGGGCCCTCTTGAGGCTATCTTAGGCCGTCTTGGATGAATCTTGACTCGTCTGGGAGGCATCTTGGAGCCATCCTCGCCGTTTTGGAGGCCATCTTGGCCGTCTTGGATGGATGCATCTCGGAGACCATCTTGGGCCGTCTTGGAGCCGTCTGGAGCAGGGAAAACCTTTGCAGCCAGGTTTTGCGATCTTTCCCCGGACCCCGGCGGGACGCGCCGGAGCCCCAGAAAGAGGGCCTTTTGGCGCCTCTTGAGGGCCTCTCGGGGGCCTCTTCGGGCCTCCTGGGGGCCCTCTCGGGCCCGAGGGCTCGACCTGTCCGTTTGAGTTCCCCATCTGGGCCCCCTCTTGGGGCTGTCTTTGGACCCTCTTGGACCGTCCTGGGCGCCTCCTGGCCAGCCGTCCTGGGGCCCTCTTGGGCCGTCTTGGGGCCTTTTTCGAGGCCTCCTGGGCCGTCGTGGGGCGATCGTGGGGCCTCGTGGGCCGTATAGGAGCGTCGGGAAGCCGAAAAGGCGAGAACGTCAACATCATTCCAACGGAAGATCAATGATTTTGGCCTCTTGGGCCTTCTTCTGCGGCTTCCTGGAGGTCTCTTGAGGCGTCTTGGAGGCCTCTTGGGCCGTCTGGGGGCTATCTTGAGCATTTTGTAGCGATCGTTCGGCGACTCGGGGCCCTCGTGGATCGTTTTGGGGCCTCTTGGGTCCTATTGGCCCGTCTTGGGGTCCTCTGGGCTCCGAAAAACTGACAGCGACACGACGCGACAAGCCCCGCCAAATTTGGGGCCCAGGACCCGTAAAGACTCCTCAGGAGTGAGGATTAGGCTTAGAGGACTGGGCAAAGGATTTGAGAACACGCCCGCTCCGTGCCCAGCGGCACGGTGGCGGATTTTTTTTCGAAGGGAATCGGATTCGGTTGTCGGGCCCGCCGCCGTGTGGCCGCCTTCGCCGCCCCGTCGCCGCCTCGTCGCCCGCCGCCGCCTGTCTGAGGGCTTG